GTATAGGGTATAGGGTATAGGGTTTAGGGTTTAGGGTTTAGGGTTTAGGGCTCAGCGCTTCGGGCTTGGGTTTGGCTGGCCTCTCATCTCGGACCGCTTCATCCCAAGACTTCATAAGCCACAGACAGCACCTCTGTACCAAAAAGCAGCGTTAAACGGGCAACCTTGGGTAGACGAACACATGATGAACTGGCATTGCAAGTCGAACGGGTCTCCCTAAACCCTAAACCCTACACCCTATTGCAAGTCGAAGGGGTCTCCCTAAACCCTAAAGCCTACACCCTAAACCCTAAACCCTAAAGCCCAAACCACCCTAAACCCTAAACCCTAAACCCTAAACCCTAAACCCTAAACCCTGAACCCTGAACCCTGAACCCTGAACCCTGAACCCTAAACCCAACCTTCAGGGAATGACCAGCTCGGAGGATCTCCAGGGCTGAAGGTTTTGGGGCTTAGGCTCCTTGAGGGCTCCTGAGGGTGGTTTAGGGTTTGGGAGTTTCGGGTTTCGGGTTTAGTGTTTCGGGTTTAGGGTTTAGGGCTTGGGGTTTAGGGTTTAGGGTTTGGGGTTTAGGGTTTCGGGTTCAGGGCTTAGGGCTTCAAGCTTAGGGCTTAGGGCTCCCTGCTTGCTGAGACCGCCACAGGGCATGGGCCTCGGCGCAGTGCCTCTGCCAGCCTACGGCAGCTGCGCGTGAAACGACGGAGAGTCCCCAAACCCAAAACCCTAAACTCTAAACCCTAAACCCCAAACCCTAAACCCTAAATAAACCCTAAACCCAAAACCCTAAACCCCAAACCCTAAACCCTAACCCTAAACCCCAAACCCTAAACCCTAGACGCTAATCGCTCCAAGCCCCCAAGAGCCCGGAGTGAGGAGCCAGGTTTAGGGTTTAGGGTTTCGGGTTTAGGGTTTAGGCTTTAGGGTTTAGGGTGTATGGCTTACAAGGGTTTAGGGCTTAGGGTTCACGAATCCTAAATCCTAAACCCTAAGCCCTAAACTGTAGGGTATCGGATCCGGACCCAAGTGGTTCTGGCGTGCAAATGAAGGGTCATCTTAATCCAAGAGCCAAAGCCTCGAACCACCCCAATCCCTGAACCCGAAGCCCAGTCTGAAAACCTAAACCCACCCTAAACCCTAAACCCTAAGCCCTAAGCCTTAAGCCCCAAATGCTAAGCCGTGAAAAATCTAGCCCCCGAACCCTAGGCGTCAAACCCCTAAACCCTTAACCTTGAACCTTAACACCATTTGAACCCCTAAACCTCTAACCCCAAGAATCAACTAAGCCCCTAAACCCTAAAACGTAATCATCCATCAAAACCCCGACCCCTACACATCAATCAAACCCCTAAACCCTGAACCCTACACCCGAAACCCGACACCCTGCACACAAAAACCCCAAAACCCGAAACCCGAAACCCTACACCCGAAACCCGACACCCTACACCCTAAACACGAAACCCGACACCCTAAACCCGAAACCCTACACACCCGAAGCTTACACCCGAAACCCGAAACCCTAAACCCGAAACCCGAAACAATAAACCCGAAACCATAAACAATAAACCCGAAACCCTAAACAATAAACCCGAAACCCGAAACCCTAAACCCGAAACCCGAAACCCGAAACCCCAAAGCGCAACTCGCGATCTGGAGAGGGGCCTCAGCCCCTTCAGCGTGGCCGCAATCGACTCTTGCCTTCACCCAAATCCCGATTTTTTGGGGGCTCTGGGGTTTAGGGTTTGGGGCTTTGGGCTTAGGGCTTAGGGCTTGGGGCTTAGGGCTTAGGGCTTAGGGCTTAGGGCTTTAGGGCTTAGGGCTTGGGGCTTAGGGCTTAGGGCTTGGGCTTCGGGCTTAGGGCTCAGGGTTTGGGTGTTTTGGGGTGTCCATTTTGAAGTTTAGGGTTTGGGGTGGGGCTTTGGGTTTAGGGCCTGGGGCTGGGGGTTTCCGGCTTAGGGTTTGGGGTTTAGGGCTAGACGGATCCCAAACAAGTACAAACCTTCATTAAGTTTTGATGCATATGGTTACTTCTCTACAATATGGTCCTTTTGGGGGTCCTTCTATTAAGATGGCCCCTCTTCTTTAGGGTACCCACAAAGGGACCATCATTTAGAGCACTCACCTTACTATGTCCCTACACCCCGAAGACCCTACTTGGGAGGACCGGGGAAACTTAGCAGGTGGTTCTTCGGTGGGCTGTAGGATAACCCCCAATTGGGGGGTCCCTGTTACAGGGTACTTGGTTTTTTCGGTTTAGGGTTTGGGGTTTGGGGTTTGGGGTTTGGGGTTTAGGGCTTAGGGTTTAGGGTTCGGGGCTGAGTGCTTAGTGCTTAGGGCTTAGGGCTTAGGGTTGTTAACCCTCAACCCTCTCCAGCCCCAAAGCCATGGCGACAAGCCTTCGAGCCCCAAAGGCATCGCAGCCTGAGCCCTGAAACCCTTAAACCCCTAAAACCCCTAAGCTCTGGAAGCTCTGACGAAGCGGTTTGGAGTTTGGGGTTTAGGGTTTAGGGCTTAGGACTTAGGGTCACTGACTCAACTTTTGAAGCAGGTCTGTCAGGTTTCTAACAATCCCAAACCCTCATCTTAGCTCCCCTGACTCACAAGGGGCCGAGCAGGCTGGTAAAGAAAGTGATCCCGAGGCTTAAGGAGAGAAAGTTCAAACCCTAAACCCTAAACCCTAAACCCTAATTACACCCTAAACCCTAAACCCCGAAAACCTGGGTCCCAACACCAGCGGCCTTGCACGCATGGCATCGCACTGCGGGCCAGGACATGCGCATATTCGGGGTCCAGATTCAGAGGGCTTGTCTGGATCTTACCATATTATAAACGGTTTGGGGTTTAGTGTTTAGTGTTTAGGGTTTAGGGTTTAGGGTTTAAGGGTCTCGCCAAACTCGGGTGTCTAGGGTTTAGGGTTTAGGGTTCAGGGTGCTAGGGGGGGAGGGACAAGGGCTTTGAGAGGGCTTCCAGGGCTTGTGGGGGCTGGGCTCTAGTGGGCTCGAGAGGGTTTAGGGTGTAGGGTTTAGGGGGTTCAGTTTAGGGGGTTCAGGGTTCAGGGTTCAGGGTTCAGGGTTCAGGGTTCAGGGTTCAGGGTTCAGGGTTTAGGGTTTAGGGTTTAGGGTTAGGGTTTAGGTTTTAGGGTTTAAGCTCAGGGACATCAAGGGGTCAAGGAGTCAAAACGCTTGAGCGCGATGGCAGATCTGGATTGTCACCAGCTTCAAAATCAACAGTTTAGGGTCCCCTTCGGGTTTAGGGTTTAGGGTTTAGGGTTTAGGGTTTAGGTTTAGGATTTAGGGTTTAGGGTTTAGGGTTTAGGGTTGAGGGTTGAGGGTTTAGGGTTTAGGGTTTAGGGTTTAGGGCTTAGGGCTTAGGGCTTAGGGCTTAGGGCTTAGGGCTTAGGGCTTAGGGCTTAGGGCTTAGGGCTTAGGGCTTAGAGTTGAGCATCCTTGTTATTCGCTTCGGCTTCTGGTCACGAGGCGTGTAGAACAAGCAGACCAGGATCCGACCACAACCGCTAATTTGCCCCTAAACCCTAAACCCCTAAACCCTAAACCCTAAACCCCTAAACCCCTAAACCCCTAAACCCCTAAACCCTAAACCCCTAAACCCTAAACCCTAAACCCTAAACCCTAAACCCTAAACCCCCCCCCCCCCTCGCATGGGACCAGCCTGAACGAATTCAATTCAAAGAACCGATGCCATGGCGGTTCCAGGCTGTGCACCCCTCCCACAGACCCCTAAACCTCCCTGCACCGCGCTGAAACCGCCCTGACAGCTCCTAGGACCCCTAGAACCTCCTTCATTAGGGTTTAGGGTTTAGGGTTTAGGGTTTAGGGTTTAGGGTTTAGGGTTTAGGGTTAGGGCTTAGGGTTTAGGGTCAAATCGCCCCTGCCTCCTGAACTCACGCCGTGCGTCGTGCTGCACGGGCTTTCCTTCGTCTGCGATGTGCACACTACCGCTACACCCCGCGTTGGGCCAGCCCGGCTGCCGAGGCGGCGCACGCTGGCGTTGACAAACCTTTGGGTGTACTGCCAGTGGCGGCACGACTGAAACGCGAGAGTGCGACAGTAGTTCGCTACAAGGCAGATGCTCTGCACGACGCCCGGAGTGTACGTCGGGCGGTTCGGCTGGTGCAGGAAGGGCGAGAGCAACCCCACCAGCCACGCCTGAGCCTAAGGCTTAAGGCTTACAACCCTCAACCCCTAAACCCTGAACCCTAAACCCCTAAACGAGTAGGAACGCCCCAATCCATCGAGCTTTTCTCCGGTGGGCGGGTTTTGTCACCCGAAGGTGGCAAAACTGGAAGACGATGCGCCATGGCCCTACGACAGGAGAAGCAGTGATTGGTGGGGTTGCTGAAGGACCCAACTTAGAGTTTGGGGCGTAGGCCTTAAGCCTGAGAATTTCGGGCCTTCGGGGGCATAAAGCTTTGGGTTTCGGGTTTGGGGGCACTCATACATTATTATGGAGTTCTTCAGGGAGGCGGGTTCATGGGGGGTAGGCACCGCGGGAACCTTAGGGAAGCTTAGGGAGCCTTGGGGAGTAGTGGGGAGTGTTAGGGAACCTTGGGTTACATATCCCCCTTCACTGCCTCAAGAACCCTAAATCCCAAACCCTAAACCTCCCTTAAGAACCTCCCTTAAGAACCCTATAAAGGGTGTGGGGATATAGGGTTTGGGTGCTGGTTGGAAAGGTGAAAAACATTATCTAAGCCTTCTGCAAGCACTTTGAAGGGCAACCCACCTTTCAGAGTCCTGAGGACAGTGGCTGGCTGCCACAGCCAGACAGTGAGCATGCAGTTGGTCTTCTCTCCTAGGCGGGCCCTTGCGGAATGACCCTAAACCCTAAGCCCTAAACCGTAAACACTCTCTATCATATGTATATCTAAACCTTAATGAACTCGTCGGCAAGGCCCAATTTGAGCCTTGCCGACGAATTTCCTGAAGGTTTAAAACCTTACTCAAACTCGTCGGCACGGCCCGTCGCCTTGCCGACGAATTTCCTGAAGGAATAAAACCTTACTCAAATTCGTCGGCAAGGCCCAAAACGTGCCTTGCCGACGAATTTGAGCTTGAAATTCGTCGGCAACCAATTTGGGCCTTAAATTCGTCGGCAAGGCCTAATTTGGGCCTTAACATTCGTCGGCAAGGCCCAATTTGGGCGAAACCTTAATGAAATTCGTCAGCAAGGCCCAAAACGCCTTGCCGACGAATTTGAAACTGAAATTGAGGCCTAATTTGGGTCTTAAATTCGTCGGCAAGGCCCAACTTGGGCTAAACCTTGGTGAAATTCGTCGGCAAGGCCCAAAACGCGCCTTGGACCTTAAATTCGTCGGCAAGGCCTAATTTGGGCGCGAAAATCGTCGGCAAGGACCAAAACGCGCCTTGCCGACGAATTCGGGCCTAAATTCGTCGGCAAGGCAAGGCCGTACTTGACGTAAATTCGTCGGCAAAGTCCAATTTGGGCGAAAGCTTGGTGAAATTCGTCGGCAAGGCCTAAATTTCGATCTTGGCGTTGGGCGTTGGTTTAGGATGTCCACCTTCTCGTTTGCTCAGTGGTGGTCATTAGTTTCGGTGTTGAGCCATCCAAATAATACGAGGAAACTTTGCATTTCTGGAACTTCGGGTGGGTGGGTATCTTTCGATGCGATAAACGACGAGCCTAAACGAGAAACTGCTCGACCAGGAGCTCTTGAACCCTAAATCCTCAATCCTAAACCCTAAACCCAAGGGCCTGCCTAGTCTGGGGTTCCGATTCAGATAAAACGAAACAGAAGGGCCGCCAACTCGCAAGTCCAGACTGAGAACTGTAGGCTTGATAAGGTTCAGGCTTAGGTTTGGGGTCCGGGGTTCGGGGTTCGGGGTTTGGGGTTTGGGGTTTAGGGTTTGGGGTTTAGGGTTTAGGGTTTAGGGTTTAGGGTTTAGGGTTTAGGGCTTAGGGTTCAGGGTTTAGGGTTTAGGGTTTAGGGTTTAGGGGCCTGGGCGGCTGATACGGCTTTAGGCAAACAAATGCTAAGGGCGTAGAGTCCGCTCACTTCGCTCCAAGCTATGTGCCTGCAGCCCCAAATGCCACAGTCCTAAAACACAGGAGGCCCAAATAGGGATAGGGTTTAGGATTTGGGGTTTAGGGTCTAAGGCTTAGGGGTTTAGGGTTGAGGGTTTAGGGGGTATGCTGGCTAGTCCTTATTGTACTCCCATAGAGATTCATCCAGTGGACCATGTTGGTACTTTCGTCGGCTCCTGTAGGACTGCGCTTGGGTTGGGGACACCTTCCTATGCACAAAGTCAAACACACTTGTGCGGAAAACGCTGTCATGGCGATGTGTCTCGGGGGATGTCCTGGGAGATACCTCTCGGCTGGATGAGGGAGCTAGAGCTGCAGCAAACTCGAACCTCTCACACCCCGAACGCTAAAGCTTAAGCCCTATAATCACACACACACACACACCCTAATGTTAACGTCCCATTTATAAATGGGGTGGTAATCGTAATATTCGCCGGGCCAGAGGGCCCCATTACGGGAGGTTTTCGGGCCGATGTATGTAAACAAGTCTATATAGGGGGGTCCGGTGAGAATAATAATGGGGTGGTAATTGTAAAATTTGTCCGGCCAGGAATTGAAAATAATACTGAAAATGGCTTAAGAGTCCCATTGCCGAGAAGACTTTTCAGCTGAGCTGGCTTGAAGCAGAGAGCAAGCAGAACAATTCACAAGACAAAGCAAAGCAGACCCTGACAGCTGACCCCCCCCAGACCCCCAGACCCCCAGACCCCCAGACCCCCAGACCCCAGACCCCCAGAATCCGCACCGTTGACACCCCCTCTTTTTTTTCCACCCCTCCAAACCCCGGGGACCAAAACAAATTTGGGGGGGGGGGGTTATTAAAGGGACCCTAACATTAAGCCCTGAGCCCTAAACTTTTAACCCTAAACAACCATAAGCCCTAAAGCCTAAACCCTAAGCCCTAAGCCTAGGTCCGAACAGAGGATTTCTGAGAACCTGGAGGTCACGGCTCGCATAGGTCTGCAGAGCGGCAGTTCTGTAGCTGAAGCTAGGCTTGAGGACAGGCAGGGCAGTCATCTAAACCCTAAACCCTAAACCAAAAAACCCTAAGGCTCCGTAGCATCATAGGACCCCAGAAGGACCATAATGCAAGCAACTGCCCCGATGCTGCATTCGGCTTTTGTGGCTTTGGTCTTGTTCATTTGGGGCCCTAAACCCGAAACCCGAAACCCTAAACCCTAAACCCTAACCCTTAACCTGCATTGATTATTTGGGGGCCCCTAAGCCCTAAACCCTAAACCGCAGGGTCGGGCCGGCGTTTCAAGTGTTCGGTGTGGGGTTCGGAGAGGTCGCCCTGTTTGGCCTTGGGAGGTTTAGGGTTTCGGGTTTTAGGGTTTAGTGTCCTTTGGCGGGGGTAAGAGGAGCAGAGGGACTATAACTTCTTGAAGTATCCAAGTTTTGCAAAAGTTTGGCCTTCTTTGCTTTATCGCCTGTTTGCTTGGAGGGGCTTGTGGCCTCCTCGTGTTACATTATTCCCTACGTACCACATTCGAGGAAAAAGCTGTCCGCACAATAACCATACACACCGTTCCGAAAACAACTGTCCCCACCACAAACATAAGGTAAGCTCACTTTTGTAGTACGTACAAGGTCCAGAAAACATATGAAGCACGGTATATATATATATATATATATCTTGTACCCTAAGGGTACCACTGGGCTACCAACAACAAGGCTTCACCTTTG